AACTAAGTCAAAGACCTGTCATCTAAGGCTTCATAGTAGAGCCACTAAAATAAATTTTCACAAGATTTAACAAAAGTTGCTCTACTTAGATAAACATATATCTACTATGATTTCACATGTATCATTCAAGATTTCTAAACTAAGTGGATAAAATACTTAGTTTCATGCAATTTTAAAGAGTCATTCTCATACAATTTATATGTTTCACAATACAAAACATGAAATCGTAGATTCGTTTTAGACACCCCACATTCTATATCATTCATAGGGTAGAAAACTATCTCCAATTACCCACACATTCTTTCACCTTATGATGTCTAAATTAAAAATATCATATTAATCAAATATTGACTTTAAAGAGACCATTGACAAGTCAATTACTATGACCAAAAGTCTTACCTTAATAAGATTATCAAATTTCACTTTTTAACTTCTTCTCTAAGTTACAAAGTCTGTATATTTGTCATAGTATTTTATGAAAAATAGTGAGCATAGAAATGAACAGTAGACTAGGTAGGTTTCTTGAAAAAGAGAGGAGGCGCACTAGGCACGCTTAAATACCAAGTCTTTTTCAGAACCTATCCTAGACATGCACTCTTATTCTATCCCTCTACTTTTCAGTCAACCATGTAAAGATCTCATAACAATTTATGCTTAATATTTTCTTATCGATAAGCATAAAATAATTAGACTTAAACTATTCATTTAATCTAGTTTTAGTCTTTAAACTTATTAAAAGGTTCTCACTATGTTTTAAAGACTAGCTAGAAAGCCTTATTTAATAATAAATAATTCTCATCCGATAACAAACACAAATGAAAAAAAAAGTCTAAATAATTTGACCTCGTAGGTTGAAATATAACAACCAAGTAGACTTATTCGTTCTTAACATGCCTTTAACTGAAGTTCTCTCATCATCACCTCATATTGAATTAATCATCCCTTCAAAATCTCGTAATCCTGCTCTTGGATTTGCTATTTAAGCTTTCAAGTCCCTTATACGACTCCCTTTACAAGTCCCTCATACGACTCCCTTTACAAGTCCCTCATAAATCATAAAATAAACAGACAAAATTAATTGATACGCTTTTGGAACTTAATAGTAAAATTAAAAGTTTATGATGCAAAATTGAAATATTAACTGTAAACAAAAAAGATTAAATTAAATAACCTTAACAAGGAGACGGCAGAAAACTAATGACTCGAGATCATGTTGATCCATTTGTATGCTCAACTAAATGCACCACTTTTCCATTATCTCTATCACGTGTTTCTACCACGGCAAATTCTAACAAGATCAGTTAATAAAATAAAATCCTCAACAACTAACATGTGTTGAACAACCTACAAACCACACCACTCATAACTCATTAGTAAAATAAAATAAATGAACAACTAACATGTGTTGACTAATATTGTACGTACATTGATACCCATTTTAAATGAGACTTTAATGTTGTGTGAGTTCAATTAGCGGCCCATAATGTGACGTAACGAGTATACAAATAAAAAGGCACATCCATAACAATATATGTAACCCACGTAATAGAAACCATATGGACATAAAAGATGTGTGTTAGGATATACCTAAACAGCAGAACCTCCTTATTCCACTTTGTTTGCAATATACCAAACAGGTTGTCACCGATATAACCCTGCAAAGGCTGAGGCCAATCATGCACCTAACTGTCATTGAGAGAATTTATAAAGGGTAGATCCACGCCCCACCACCACTCAACGTATATATTCCCAATTAGTCCAGTACACCATGTGAGGGGCATAATGTATGAACAATCTGTATAAACAATCTGTATAAACCACATATCATGAACCTCGCATCGAGAGTCTACAAAGTAGATTTTGATGACCAAAGAAACCCTTAACCATGTCATAATTGCATAGCCAAGGGTCCGGTGAATTGAAAAGTAAAATAATAAAGTATATACCTTGTTTGCATCGCACCCATATGCCAAATTGACAATCCCTCTGTTCTCCCCTTCTCCTTCACTTTCTCGGTGTTGAAACCAGAACATTACAACGAAAAAAATAACTAACTACACATGAATAGGTACAACGCAATTGAAACCGAAATAAACTTACACTATGAATATACAACCCAATCGAATGACATTAAAGCTACTAACTGCTTAACTAAATATCTAAATTGGATCTTGGTGTCTCGCCTTTGACCACGGGTCTTCCTTTTAGCCGTACAAATGGCCCTCAAATCCACCTGCCTAGCAGACTCTTGGTTTGAACCACATCCTGGATACATAGATATGTTAGGAATGGAGCACATCCATATCACAATAATCCCAACTCTAGTAGAGTAATCTGGTGATCTCCTGTCCATGAAATAGCACCACTGATATACACCTTGCATCGATAATCGATGACCAAAGATAACCACACCCGTCTTATACCAGCATAGGTGGGATCTCGTACCAATCACATTGGCACAACCCAAAATTAGCAAAATCAAATAACAAACGACATTCATGTTGAACAAATCCCACATAGTAAAAATCATTACTTTCATGCCACCAGGTACCTTGTATCACATAAATAGCAAGGAATTCTAAGTACAAAATTGGGGAAATCCACACAAGGCTTGTATACTACCAGTACAGAAAATGCCAAATAAGCTAAATAATATAATAGTTATTTTGATGACAGCCCCTCCAAGTCCAAGTAAACACTATGCTCTCCAAGGTATTAATATCAATATACCAGATCATGTGTACATGCCATAACAATCTCGTGCCAATGCACGTCCCTATTCTTATGTAGTGTGATAATGACATCACAAGTATATGGTGAGCAGGAGGTAACCATTTGTTGAAAATAACTAAGGACATACCCTTACCGTGATTCCATGTACAATTATTCTCCCAAGTAAGAGGTTGAGCAATTGTCCAGTAACACGTACTCCCAAGTAAGATGTCTGCGTTCTTGAATAAAAAAAATGTAAGTGTAAGGCAGCACCTGGATAGGAATACCTTGAGGTTAATTAGCTTTAAAAATTGGATGTCTCGCTTCAGTTGCAGTCCAGTTCCAAGGACCAAAGTATCAAGTGGACCATAACTTAGCACTGTTCGAGGATCAGAAGTGCTGAAGAGCACGTTCTGCACCCAGTATTGGGTCTGTCGCTTAAACTCCAACAATGATGATACCCATCTCTTCGATTTCGTGTGAAACCTTGCTCGTTGTTCGTCCATTGATCGGGCCCAGTCCAGGGCGCGATTTGTTGATTGAGTCCCCTTGCATGCCACCATATGTGCATCGGAGACGAGAGATCCCAAAAATCCCAGGTAAAATATGAGAACCAAATAAAGGTAGAGATCGAAAAAATCCAAGAAACCAGGCACATTGGTGGTCGAATGATTATGCTCCCAAATAGCCAGAACATCAATTGTAATTTCCACGCCAGCGAATCCTAGTCCGTCGCCAGATTCATGAGAAGAAACCAGAAATCCAAACGATCCCATAGATGGTTATTATTCAAAAAGTGGAGAGAGTAATAAGGCTCGTGGGAGCAAATAAAATCCCAATCGTCAATTGGGATTCTTGAATTAAATGAAAATATGAAACTGTCAAACAAAAACTCAAACCCGCTGATTCGAAAATAATAAATCATTGTGTAATCACCGTGCATTGAAAATCCACAAGAGTGGATGTTGTGATGTACAAAGAATTTCTTTTTCATTACTTGGAGAAGTGCACCGGCGTTGGAAGAGAAATCTAGAAAAGAAAACGTTCAGAGGGAGATTCAGAGAACATTTCCTTCGATTGTACCTTTTAGCAATAATGTATTTGGATAGGACATGTTTTGATGCATCAAACATTTTTTTGTCATTTTCATGAAGAAATCTACGGTTCCAAGACAACTGCTTCCGCAGAAGGATTCCTTTATTATCTCCCTTTATGACTAACACGTCCATTCCTTCAACAATGTTGGCATAAACTTTCCGTTTAATACCTTAATTATCATTTTTATTTTTGTTTTGATTATTTAATTTTTTTTGTGTAAATGTTTGTTTTGGTTTTATTTTGGTTATCTATAGTTAAGAAATTAATAGAATTATTAGCGTGATATTTTTTACTTTTTTCAATGATGACGTGACATATCTTATGGTAACACATTAACGTCACCGTTAAATTTTTTAATAGCGAGTGACCACAATAAAATCAAAACTACATGTTAACTATAATTTTAAAAATAAAACAAAAGTAATAGTTGATGTACAAAAACATATAGTTTACTATTGTCACGTGTGCAATGTGTTATTTAGTTTTTCTTAATACAGCTGCATATTTATTTTTTTAATAGTACAATTAGGTATTTAATTATTTTTATATAATTTGTATATAGTAATTTTTAATTTTTAATTATAATTAGTTTATACTTATAATTTTAATATTGTATAGTTAAAAGGACAATATGCTTTAGAGATTCAACCGTAATTAAATACACCAAAGAAATATAATTTATCTACTACTTTTAATAATTCAAGTAACGAATAAATTTTTATCTAAAGCAATAATTTGATTTATTCAAAAAAATATTTTTTAAAATATGATTTTTAAATATCAAATTAATTATGTAATAAAAATAAAAGATATTTCTATTGATTAAAATGTTTCAATAAACTTTATATCGTTGATAGGCATAATGCCAAAAATAGCCCCTAATGTTTATCAAAATGATCAATTTAGTCTCTATTCTTTTTTTAGTAATTTTAGCCTCAACGTTTTACTTAGGGCAAAAAACTCTCTTTATAGACGAAAACTTTTATTTAACACATAATTAACACTCTAAAATAGGATCATTTTTTAACCTGGAATAACACGTTGAGGGATAAAATGTCTCATAAAAAAAATAAGAGACAATGTGATTATTTTATCAACTGTTAGGGGTTTTTTTACCCTAAAATGAAATGTTGGAGGCCAAATTACTCCGAAAATTAGAATAGGGGGCAAAATGAATATTTTGGTAAACATTGGGAGCTAACTTTCGCATTATACCTTGTAAAAATACACTATTTAAGTAGTTTACGACATCAACTACTTGGTTGTAAGTCTGTTTAAGGCCCTGCTTTGTCATTTTCCTGAAGAATCCCAAGGCCTAAATATTAACAAGCCTACAGTTTTTTCTAATTTCCCCATCAATTCCAGTTAGTACATTTATATTCCCCATCTTAACAACTGATTTCGCAAATGAACTGAAGAAAAGCTCTTGATCAGACGCAAAATCCCAAACCAGCTTTCTTATCTCCCCTTCATGATCTTCATCCACCAACACATTATCAGATCCCAACAGTCCATTTCCTCCAATAATGTTGATGTAATATTGATTGTCGAATTTCGCAGGAGTTACAAAATCGAGCGGTGCGATCGCTTCATTCCTTCCCGACTCCGGGCATATCGACTGGAGGATTCTTCGAAAAGTCCGGTATCGTTGGTACTTATCGTACTTTTCTTCCATGTATATGTCGTAAATTCTTTGTCTGAAACTCAAACATCTAGCCTTCCCGAATGTATGGCTACCTGTTCATTTCATTTATCAAAGAATTCATCTTATGGTAGTGTTCCAACATACATACATATGCATGCATGCAACATCCATACATACATTAAGGATTGAGAGAGAGACCTGACAAAGCAACCAAGTCTTCTACATCAAGACCATGTTGGTTGAAGTTGGCAATGAGAGTCTCCAAAGAGGAATTTGGGGATGGAATGAATTGGTTTGCACCATCAAAGCTTGCTTTCAAGGAATCTTTCCTCCCTAACCAGACCTTCCAACTTGGGCCTCCTCTCTGGTGAAACAAAACACTCGCTTATAAAAATAGCATTATCGTGGTTGTGAGCATCATTCGCTACTAGATCAGACATATATACTAAGATTAAGCAATAGTATGAGTTTCAAATACCATTGCGACGGCATCACGAGCGACCATTGCCAGAATATCAGCACAAGAGACGGTTAAGGGACAAGCCTTTTCCAAATGGTGCTTGATCTCATCGATGACATGGAATCCACGCAACGAATTCAGGTTAGGCCCTGCTTGCTTTTCACTAATGACGTCTCCATAGTTGTCCAAAAGAAGCGATGCATCACATCCCTGACACCCCAAATATTATTCATCAATTAAACCATGAAAACTGAAACAGATAAGAGAACTCTAACCATGACAAAGCAATCGTGAAAATGCAAGCGAAGGAGTGAAGCAGCCATTCGAGGATCTTTCAGCACTGCAATCTTGACATTCCGGCTAACAATCGCTTCTGCCAAGGGACATGTTTCTTTGTAGTAGTCAAGATACAGTAGTCCATCTTCGACGCTCGATGTAATCTTAACTGCATTTAAAACCAAAACCAGGAGTATACAGAATGCTCCAGTAATCTCCATTGAAGCAAATCAAAGAACACTACATATGGAATTAAGGTAGCTCATAGGAATATTGCAGCTACATATAGCAATCTATATATGCGTACACGTTTTGAAAGTTATAGTTTTCTTGTACCATTAATCTATTATATGTTTTTTTCAAGCCTACTTGTCTTTAAAAAAATCCCTTTGAGCTCTTTAATCAAAGTGGATGCAACTAACCCAACCAAACCGGTCTCTCTTTATTTTCTGTCACTACTAGTCTTGCCACTTCTACAGTCTGAATGATCCTATTCGAACCCGACAACAAAAATTTCAACACATATATTGTAGTTTAAGCTCTTGTTGCGTTATTAAAATCAATAAATGCATAGTCAAATTATGGTTCTGTCTAACTCTTGAACGGTTAACCTTTTCCATCGTTCTGAATTTTCAATAAACTTCTTAAAGTGCCAATTTAGTTCATAACATCACCAAAGATTGGCTTAAACTTCACCATTTAGTTCATAACATCGCCAAAACGTTGAACTCAGAGGACAATGATCAAGTCTTAATTCTGCTCGCTGGTAGCAAAGTTGTTTTATGCCTTTTCCTGACCGGAGTATACGATCAAACCTATCAAAGGAATGAATGCACATTATAAGCAATTGAACAATGTGGAACTTTACGAATAATCAGTGGCAGAGTCAAAAATGTTTTACAAAAGTTATTACTTACCATGCCGGATACCTCTTCTTCTTCTCCCCTTCTCTAGGGATCTTACCGACACATCTATCCGAGTTGATTTCATACTTGTAGGTGAGAGGAAAGTTTATTACCCCTTCTTTCCATCCATCAAATACATGTCCACGACCGAGTTCATTATGAAGCTGTGGAACAGAGTTGAAGCCATTAACTTTTGTAGTTAAAGAAGTTCGTATGCTAAGGTAAACCTAGATGGCTAGATCACTGTGATACTCACTTGATCATTGTTGATTACTTCATCCCAGCGAAACAAGCTCTCTCACCTCGGAATCCAACATATTTAGACTATAATTTAAATCGTCGAACCAAAATATTTTACTGTTAGGAAACTATAGAAGCTCGATATCAAATCGAAACGATGGAAGCACCCCTCTCTATATAGTCATTACCTTGTTTCCCATGTAGCCCATAAGACCAATTCCAATCGGAGAGACCTTCAAATTGTTTATATGTCTCCTCAACCTCTCCAACCATCTGCTTGCTAACTATCCTTGCGTACTTCGGACATGACCCTGCCCCATCATTGTCATGTTGCTTCTAAGAAAGTATCATCATCCTCTACCAGAAACTCATCGGATACTTCAGAGAAAGAATCATCAACTTCTAGATTTGGTAGTTCATGCAGCAACATTGACTCTAGGTTTCCAGAGCTATGATGTGATATTTTCAGTCTGCTATCTGTTAACGCGGGAGGATGTGGACTACAGAATACGGAGTTCTCCACCGGAGTAAAGTCGAATCTAGTTGAGATGCTCAGTACTCTTCGGAATGTCGAACGTGAAGAGACAACTAGTAGAGTTTGTTAGTAATGCTCAATCCCACGTAGAGTGAGAAATATATTGGAATTGTATAATTAAGGCTTTCATTCTTCACTCTCTTATTAAGTGATAGAGAGAAAATGGGACTTTTTGTGTACCGTTGTCGTTTGTCTCGTGTTCGTCGCAATATATGTCAACATGGATTCTAAAATTTTTAGAGAAAATTCGTAAGAATTATTCTCAGGCATAAAAGGATCGTGAAAGAATGTTTGTTTTGATATTTATAGGTTGATATGTTCGAATTTTATATTTTCATAGAATAACAATTGATTAATTAGTTGTATTAATTTCTGAAATTTAAAATTCAAACAGTTAGTTTTCTTAAATTAATCTGTAAACGTTATAACGTACCTGGCCCATTTTACGTCTCTGTTCAATATAAGAATTGGATTGTTAATTGTGTCAGTTACGAGAATTACAAAATAATTGTAGGAGTTACAAATGTCTAAGAATTATACAATGTATCTAGACGTTTTAAGGGTCATTCATCTATTTAATTCAGCAATTTCATATAATAAAAGGTAGCAGTTACAAATTATTAATTTCAGGAAATAAAATTAGACTTTAATCTGATTTTTGTTGGACAAATTTACCCCTGCATGAAGCCTATAAATAGAGAAGTTTTGTTATCTTCTCAGCTCACCAATTCACTTTCGACTCTCAAATCTCTCTCAACTCTATCAAACTTTCTAAGCTTTTGACTCTTTTTGGCGAGGAGGAGTACCACCAGCAGTCCATTTCGTTTTTGGGTGTATGGTATTCGGGGACGATCCATCTATTAGAACGATTACACATATCAGGGCGAATTCGTTTATAAGACAGTAATTTTACATGACACGGTTTACAACGATCGAATTATTTATTTTATTTATTTTTCCAGTCAATGCTGACGGTATGATTTTGCAGTCAATATTTCTAACAGGGTTGCATCTAACAAGTGTTCCGGCCAGTCCAACCTAGTGTGAAAATCGACACCATTTATTCTCTTCAAACATTTTACTTAGCAGTCTCCAAATGCTGATTACACCTCATTTGCAATGGCAGAGCATCGATTTCGTCTGCCACTACATCTGCAACCGAAGAAGTTCGTAACACGGGAGACGGTGGAGCACTATAACATTTGTGCTTGCTTTCAGGTTCCAAAGATTTGTTCAAAGTTCTTCGAATGATCATCTCCCATTTAGGAATGGGTCTGTTATCCTCAGCTCCCAATACATTCCCAGCATTCAAATGGACCGCCTCCTGGAGGCTGTCCAAAGCAGACCAATTTTCAAATAACTTGCATTTGCACATGGGGCTTACTCATCCACAAGATGTTGAATATTGAACCTCAAATGACATTAAGATCCACCAACAAAAGGAAATACTCACCCGATAACGTAAATATCGGAAGGATCATAGGTGCAAAGCCAATCATTAATCTCGAGATCCTCCGATAGAAGTCTTTCAGCTACATTGCAAGTGCCTATTATCACTCTATAGGCAACCACAATATGTTTCAATAAGAATTAAAACTCAAACACCTTAAGGCTTACAATTTAAGTAGAGAAAATAACTTCAGTGACCGAAAATGCCTTATAATATACGATTTTAATCAACTATTTTTGGATTTGCGAAAATGACCAACAAATTCGAAAGTTCGAACTTCAATTTCACAACTCAGTTTCCAAATACGCATTGCGATTTTCCAAATTCGCAACGCGATTTCCAAATCCGCAACACTGAATTTCAAATTCGCAACTCGATTTCTGAATTCGCAACGCGAATTTTGTTTTCGCAACTCGATTTTCGAATTCGCAACACGAATTTTAATTTCGCAACAGGTTTTAGTTTCGCAACACAAATGTTTTGGGTATATAACTACGCAGAAGCAACAACTCATAACCTAAATCCCTAAATCGCAACTCATTCCATCTCTATCTATCACTCTTTCCGGCGACATCCGTTCCTATATCCAACGACATCCTTCCCCATCTCTAATTTTTTTACATAATTTTATTTCTATATAATTTTTCAATGATTTCTCTCCCAAATTATCAACTATCAACTTAATAAAGGTATGTTTTTCTCTAAGTTAGTGATGATATGTAGTTTATAGCTCATTTGTTTAGTAAATTAATTTACAATTTGTAGAATGAAATCATCTAATGTTGATCATGTTTGGATAAATTTGTGTTTTGGAGGGTCATGGGAGAATGTTCATGGTGTTTTACAATATATGTCTTTACCCATGAATCTTCAACTAAAACTATCATTTAAAAAGTTAACTTATGAAACTCTAATGTTACGTGTTGCAAAGAAATTGAATTTAGAGCCTCTAAGTGGATTTAGGCTATCTTATCAGAGAAAAGATAAAGTTTATTTGTTAACCAACAATGAAGATGTTGAACGATTCATTGCTTACATTAGTGTTTCGCAAGAAGATGATGTTACATTGTATGTTGTTGAACCTAGAAGTAGTGCAGTTGGGTCAGTAGCGGGTAGTAATCAACTAAGTTTTTCAACACCAGTTTATGGTGCTCATAATGTACAACGTTGTTATGAACCTCAAAATTTAATGGTTCCACCACAATTTCATCACCAAGAAAATTTAGTTTCACCACATTTCCAATACCAAACACAATATCAAACACAATCTCAAAACCCACAACATTTTCCTAATCCAAATCCTAATCAACTTTCAGCACCAAATTCCGATATTCGTATTGACCAGTTAGACGATTATGAGCCAACAGAAAAAATTGTGAGTACTATTCAGTATTCGAAATTTGATCTTGGTCAATACCCGGACTTTGATCTTGGTCAATACCCGAACTTTGATCTTGGTCAATACTCGGATTTTGATGATGTTTCAGAAGAAGAAATAGACTATGCGTGTAATGATTTTGATATTGGTCAATACCCGAATTTTGATGATGAAATAGCCGTTGCCGAGGAAGATGTTGTTGATAATAATGAGGAGGAAGTTACGACTGTGAATGAACATGTTGAACATCCATTCTGTAATTCATATAACCCTGAAGAAGAAAAAGAAGAAAAAGTCCCCGAAGAAAATAAAAAGAAGAAAATACCACGGGAGTATAACTGGAATATGTCAGAATTACTTCAGATATCGGAAGAAGAGTTGGTAAAGATAGCAGTTGATTGTTACACAAAATTTATTCGTATCAAGAAAAATGATTGTTTTGATACAAAGGAAGACTTGAAGATAGCTTTGTATACGAAATGTGTGGAAGATGGCTATCAACTAAAAGTTAACAAATCAAGAAAAGATCGTTTCGAAACAAAGTGTATGATTGACAAAAACTGTACGTGGTGTATGATTGCAAAAATGATAAAAGATTGCGAAATGTTTCAAGTTAGGACTTTTATTGATAAACATACATGTTCAAGAACCCAAGTTTTTCCTCACCATAGACAGGCAAACAAAAAGGTGTTGGGTGGTTTTCTGGCTGAGTTAATGTTTTTGAATGGCAGGGTATATCGGGGACATGAAATTATGACTGACATGAATGCTCGGTTCAA